AAACCATAAATAATTAGAAATAAAGAGAAAATTTTCCAAAATATTTATAGACACACTATTCTTACAGATATACATACAAAAATGAGCATTAATAAAAATCACAAGAATATAATAACAAATAAAAACGTGCAATAACAAAAATGGACTTCCAATCAAATCATTAATTATTATACTTACATATATCATCATCCATTTTCTATTAACTTCATATAGATGTACAGAATGTTTTGCAAAAGGATTTATGTTTCACCACAATCTTTGATTATATTTTAACTCTATACACTTACTATACATTTTTAATTATGAAATAAATTGAAATTTTATTACTTAGTCAACTTTAAATTCTCTGAATAGTCGAATAATTTGAGATGTATTGTGACAGAAAAATATGCTTGCAATATATTGCTTTTATTACTATAATTAAATGAACACTGTGCGTATATTTGTCATCTCGATATAACTGACTGCGCATTAATTACGTCCGTGCATTGTGATTTAAATCGGCTAAAGTCAAATTGGCAATTACGATGAACTATATGTATATAATCGTCAATTTAATCGACATAAAAAATGTCTTTATATCTCGTATCATTTTATTATGTAGTTTGATAATATATATATGAATTTTTTATCTTCTCTCATTAAATATGTTAAATATATTCTTTCGCATTATATCTATTAATCAAGAACTTTGAATAAAAGTGATTAACAGTCAATACGAAAATTTCTACGAACAAAATCAACTTGTAATAGAAAACACCAGGAAGAATTTATGATGCACTCGGCATTTAAAATCGACCACATTTCGATTATTGAGTACAACAACAAATCTCCCTGTTCATCAGCTAATGGAAGGTAACGTCACTCGAAATCTTTACGATCGCTTAGTAATGAAAATGCTTTCTATCGTGCATATATTACATTTTTGCAACTACTGTTTAAAAATAATTCTGCATCTCCTAAACATAGTAATTTCACTCGGTTTTGCACGAATTGTCGAACACTTATTCGCGAGAAGCGGTCCACGGAAACTGCACAGCGTATCTATGAAGTTAGAGAACTTCTATAATAAGAGCGCATCTCTGACTATTCTGACTTTCCATAACTCGGAACGACCTCATGGGACGCAGCCCGTGACGACACTGCGCGGTATCTAGATTTCGACCCTGGGTGATCTCTCCAGAAGTTAGCGCCGACGCATCAAACACCGCGTTTTGTTAAAATTGATTTATATAAAAATTGATTAATTATAAAATGTGCGATAAAGCACAAAGTGCATCTCCATTGAAATTTAATTAACATTTATACAACTAAAATCCTCTCGATACATATCACAACACACTTTGTAAAAGAATATTTTTCCCACCATAATTGCTTTGAATTATAATACATAGATTTCGCTCATATAATTAACTGTTAATATCGTGCGGACTCGAGAAATAAAATTATAGATAAAAAGCGATAACATAATATCTTTTTCGTACGGATGCATTGCCTTGGGACATCCGCTGCCGAGTGCAGTCGCTAGATTTATTTGCCAACAGTTAAGTACACAAAACGAAATTGCCTCAATATCAGCATCGGTTTACGTTATCAGCGCCATCGATATTAGTGTTTTGCACGTTATATTTATACGTTTTAAAGCAAATTTAATAAGGCAAGCGAAAAAAATAAGACCACGGACAGAGAAATCCATAAAACCGGAGGAACTATGGTCATAAAAGACGATAATAATCATCTATAAAAGATATTATGCTGTGAAAAGTGAGGCACGCGCTGAATAAAGCGCGAAAACGTAATATTACAACGATCATTTCTATTTATAATCGCATAAACGATACGCGTGATATCACGATTCCACGTGATATATGAAATAAAGTATTATTAACTACAATTAGACGCGACAAAGTACTCATATAAAGTGAGATCAATCTAACTAAATCTTTTAAATTTTTCTATTTTTCCTGCAGCACTTACGACAGTTTTATAAGAACTTGTAAAAATCAAAATTAAAAATCAGCCTGATTGATATATTACATATACTACATGTCGCGACCTTCTCTTATCAGCCCAAATATATGTACAACTTGAGATATCTACATTCATCAGAAATTGTGTTCAATAAAACTTCATAAAATAGAAATTCATATATAGAAATAAAGACTTTTTGATACTCAAATTATTCATTTATATGTATATATAATAATTTACATCTTTAAAAATCTTGACTTTAATTCTACATATTACAAATTGCAAATAAGTTAAATTTACGATGAAACTTATTGCTAAATTTATCATTAAATAACTGTATATTATCTAAACATCATTACATAACGTAATAATTAAAGATACATTGAAACATTATCTTTGATCATATAATACATCAATGAAATTAATTCTAATTGTAAAAATTTTGTAATTTATTTTTAATTTTTAATTTAAAATTTGTGTAGGTAATGCAAAGTTATCTAAATAACAATCAAAAAGTCTTTAAAAATTAGATTTTCTATTTTAATCATTTAGAATCACTGCTTAAATCGTGCATTAAAATTTTTTATTCTTACCTTTCGTGCTTAAGATTTGCTTCTCGACAGTCTCGACCTGCTGCGGTTCCTCCGACTCTTGAATAATCCAACGAATTTTCCGCCGCTGCATCTGAAACAAACCGCACGTGACAGTCACAGTCGATAATCCAACAAACACTAAAAATGCACAGCACGATTCACGCGATCGGTTTTAGTCGCTGGACTGAATAAGATTATAGTAGCATAAGGCAGATTTAGAATTACTCTGACGATATCGACGCGATTAATTTTTTATGGACAAAGGTTGATAATATGAACAAGTACTATTTCTATCAGTGTAATAACAAGTCTCTCTCGAAATTTCTAGACTATCACGAATATATATACATATAATTTTCAAACCGATTCGCACATTGTACTTGCATACAAAGTATAATATTTCAAGAGTACGCTATTTATTTTTAGCTTTATTTTCGAGCTTGTCATATATGTAAAAAGACAAAATTTAGATTTTCAATTATGTAAATAACAATTTTAATTCATGTCTTTTGATTAAATAAAAATTAACTAATTAATTCAAATTCGTAAAATTCTCATCAAAAAATTAAAATATTATCCAAAATCTAGATTAATTAATAATTGTATTTTAAAAGCACTATTATATCTTATTACTTATAGATGTTCTCGTTTTTTATGATTAAATTCAGTTTATTTCTCTATGCAAACATTTACCTCTATTATTTTTGATAAAATTTTATGCTTCAAGATAATTCATATAACGTACTCTAAATTTTTCTTGCATTATTTTTCAATATAATGATTTTTTTATTAATGATAATTTACTTTTAAGTCCATTGATTAAAACCATTGTAACACAAACATGCTAGCCTCACACTACAGTGATTTATTGCACACGTTATAGATGACTTCTACCTGCACACAGACATGTCATTTACACAAATTGCGACTACACAATTATGCGCTTGTTATTGTATAATTACTAACGGAAACAATGTTAACACTATCAATGGCACTTGCAATGAATGACAGTAACAACACTGACAACGTTTTTATGCATCCAATATTTCGTAATTAATGCTTTGTCATTGTAATTCACTTTCAATGACCATGAAATCGTACTCGTGACATCCGGATGCGTCATTCCGCGAACAACGAATAGCGCGCGATAATCAATTTTTCCTACAAATCATTATTTACTTCGGAAAAGTTCCTCGTGGCATTAGGAAGATGCGCTTGCTACCTACTCGTAGACGAACATCGAGCGTCGTCACGGACGATAAGCCGACGAGTACTGACAGTGATTTGTCTGTCAACGGAAGTGACACCCCAGCTGACTATCCGGACAGCTCTCGTTGCTCTCGTCCGCCTGTCGTACGCATCGTGGTTACTATATGTTGACTTCGTCACATGAGGAGGATCTGTCAGTCAGCACGCCTACACGTTTGCACCCGCTGCCGGCCGTTCATCTCTCGCACCACGTATCTTCTCCCGGCGAAGGCAAATATCGTCGCGGCCTCGCGAAGCCTATTAAAACGTGATAATGAATATGCGATAATATGTAATATATAGGTATATAGATCAAATCTCTGTTCAGAAGCGCATTTTCCATTATTTACTTATGATTTTAGACAAACGATAAGAAGGAATCCGGAACCTACATAGCATGTATATCCAAAAAAACGTCCAGAAAATATTTCGAAGATGATGTCATTAGACAAGATATCTTTGAGATGCCTTCTGAACGTCTTTTGGAGGAATGCATGATATGTTGTGTGGGAGTCGATTTTTAAACAAAAACATTGACAGATGATTTCAATAAAATAAAGATTTTCTCTGTTTATCAAGAACAACGACGATGACAAAGAAGTCAATATTGCGTAAAATTAAAGAATTCTTTTAATTACATGAAATTTTCTATCATTGTATCATTCACAGCTGCGTAAAACAGACATATCATGGGAAAAACAATTAATTGAGTTTCTCTATAAAGTATATGTAGAACAAGGAAATATGGCCTCCGGTCGTCCTTATTAGATTCACGAGATTAACCATTGACTTTTCCATGCATATACATCTTAGACAAATCCATCCGACAGACTTTGATTGTCACGCTGATTCTACTGTATTAAAGAAATACTCACCGTGCGCGAAACATAATATATTATTCAATATTATGGCACACAAGACACGGAGCAACTACACAACGCTCTAGGAGTAAAAGGTAAGGCCGTACACTTTTTGGGCGCGAAAGCGTTTCAAACTTCATGTAATACACAAGACATCATACGTCATTGCGATGGAGTACTTTGGCTTCTTCGCATGATCGCGACAATATCATTGTGTATAAGAACGACTCAGTAGCCAATCAGAGTCTCGCTTTTACAAAGAAAGCAGAAACGTAATTGGTTCACGTCATGTCTATCTTCTTATTATATATAGTTTATGGCAAGAAGTCTTTTGCTTTATTCTAAATGTATGGTGTGATAAAATAGGTTAGAGGAAAAGAAACGTGCTAAGGAGAAAAGCTGGTTTTTGTGTATATCGCTTTATATAAAAATTTTTAATTATAAAAAGATATATAAAGAAAAAAACTAGTTCCAAAATGTATCTCATGTATTATTTGAATGAGAAAGGAGAGCGCGTATATACTTTAAAGGTATATATAATTATTTTTATATCAAATATTAAATATTATGTGCATCTTTTAGTACAAGCTTCAAATTTTTTTCATTGCAATTGTATCTTTTTTGTAATAGAATATTCTAAACTTATTTATTATTTTAAAATTGTTAATTGTTTGCTCGATTTCTTTATAGAAAATGAATCCTAATGGAAAACCTACATTGTCAGCACATCCAGGTAAATTATTAAGAACAACTATGCTTTTATTATATCCAGATTTCTTATTTTTCAAAATAATTATAAAAAAATTGATAATGTTTTTATGTATTTATATTTAATAATTTTATAGCTCGATTTTCTGTGGAGGACAAATATTCAAAAGAAAGGATTACAATGAAGAGGAGATTTGGCCTTCTTTTAACGCAGCAACCACTACCTAGCTTTTAACATTTATACAAATATAAAAGCAAATTTTACTGCAGATGTGGAATGTATGTAAAAATGAGACACTTATATACATACATATAGATTTAATAATATAATATGATTTTATGCAAACATATCTATATTGTTAGAAATAGTTCATACTTTACAATAACTTTCTTCAATGATACAATATATAATAATTCATACAAAATATAGGCATATGTATATGTAAGGAGAATCATACTAATGTATTCATTATTATAATTGCAATATGTATATATTGATTATCTCTAACAAATGTTAAATAAATAAATTTATTTGTATAAAATGTTGTTACTTTGGCAAACAAAACTATTTCTTACATATTAATTTTCATTCAGATACATATATTTATTACAGACAAATTTATAGTACAGTGTGTTCTTTTACTGTATATCTTAACGTATTATTTATAAAAAATAAAAACTATTTTATATAATATTTCTTGATTTAATATAATACAGTTATATTACAGCAATATAATACAGTTTTATTTAGAAAACTATTATAACAAGATTTTACATATAAAAGCAACTTCAATAGCTTAACATGAATAACATTTTTAGCAATGTCTAACAAATTAATATATGAATATGTACAATATAATAAAAAGTATTACGAAGCTGAAAATATAAATTCCTGCTGACAAGGATAGTCTGCATCACATTATACATATATGCACAACTTTATACATATATTAACATATTACATTATAGCTATATAGTTTTTTTTATAGTTAAAGTTATTTATCAAATGCAAATATTTAATGAAGTTTTATTTATAATAACATATAGTTAGGTAATTTTTTTAAGTAGTGATATTTATTTATATAAATAAAATTTATAACTATAAAATAAACATTAATAATTAATATTATCCAATATATATTGAATATTTAATTTAAAATAAGATTGCAGCTTCTGCATATGAGAATGTCTTAAAAAAAATTTATGTAAAATTATTGTTTTGTTTTTAATGTATGAAAAATCAATGTATAATCGAAAAGACATTACATTATTGTATATATATTGCTTTATATATACATAGTATCTTATATTTATTTTTACAATATACTAAAATATAATTTTAGTGAGTATTATGTGTATGTTAATGTGCACATATATATGTGCATTTTTATGTGGCTCAAGTATTTTAATAATTATTTAAATATATAATTAAAATTCTTTTTTATATACAGAAAAATGTGTACATAAATATTGAATTAATTGGATAAATTGATTTTTTAGTAAACATTAGAAATGTATGTAAAATTAAATATATTTGAATTTTTATTTAAATTTATATTTAAGTCTTTTGTAATATTAGGAAAAATATATATATAATCTAACTTATTACTATTACATAAAAAAATTAATTTTATATATAATATATATGTGTGTGTGTGTGTGTGTGTGTGTTTGCGTGTGTGTATGTTTGTATGTGTTCATATTTTAGTACATAAAATTTTAAAAATGAAATAAAAATGAGATAAGATTCCCAAATAATAATAAATATAAATTATATAAAAATATTATACTATAGAAATAACTTTCATATGTATACAAAGTTAGAATAATAAAACAATTTTATATAAATATATTAGATATTTAAGAAATATTTTCACTTGAAAAATTATAAATATCAAGAGTGGATTTGGTGATTATCCTTATAGATTACTATAATTGATTACCCTATATTTATAGACATTAAAAATTCTGTAGATAGAAAACTATAGCACTTTAGAAAACATGGCAACAGAAGAAGAAATCTTCCTAATAATATCCAATTTTGATGAACAAATTAATGTGACATACATTTTTCTTTTCTTTTTATGTATACAAACATATCTCTTATATAGTGTTAAATACACTTCTAGTTTACATACCAAAATTATATCTGTAAGGATTACTATGCTTCCAATTTAAAAAGTAAAAATATATATAATACAATCTATATTCACAAGTTTATGAATATATTGCTAACAAATATATTTTTATAGATTTTACATATATCTATATTTGGTGTAACAAAAATTTTTGTATTTTTAATTTTTATTCTTAAAATTATAAGATATGGTATAAAATATTTAAATATTTTAAACGAGAAAATTTATATATTGTGTAGAAAATTCATACAGTAATAAACTACAAATAAATGTGTAGAATAGAAAAAAATAAAAAAGTAAATGAAAAGAATTATCATGTGTGTGTAATGCAAAATGACAAAAATATAAGTACATAATTTAACATGGCTAAAGCAAGTTTTCTCGCTATTTATTAATAGTTGATAAATGTAGAATCGTCAAGAAATAGGATATTTTCTGGTGTTTCTGCAATGTGATATATACATCATAGTTATTGCAATAACATATTTTATGAAATCTAATTGAAATATAAAATATAATACAACAAATTATATATATATATATTACATGTTCCAATATACAAAACATTTATGTTTTGTTAAATATATATGCTTGGTAAGAAATAGCTTTAGCTATTAATTTTTAAATAAAAAGTTTATGGCATCGCGTTACATAATTATTAATCGCAAAATTCAAGTTTTGTGAAATATAAATGGCTTTGGTAATAGAAAGTTGAAATAAACTGTCATACAAATCTACTAAATAAATAATGTTAATCCTATTAATATGTCGATTTATTTCAAAATGTAAATTTATATTGATAATATAATCTTTATCTGTTGTGCAAAATATAAAAAAATATTACACAATTGTTCGTTTTGAAACAAGTTATGTTTTCTAAAGCTTCTTCTAAATCCAAGTGTTATAACTTACAAAAAAGCAAAATGTGTATACACTTTTAACAACAATGTACAAATTTTTAGTTCGATTCTGATGGAACTGCTGGCAGAACATGCACTTGCTGTGCTTTACTGGCATTATATACTTGTCCTGGACTAAATGGTTCTAATCGAGGACCAGATCCTAAATCATTTTTATTACGGACGATATCTTAAAATAAAAACACAAATAAAACAATTATATAAAATTCATATAACTTAATAGTAATATTTTTTTCAAAGTACATAATAAATTATCTTTTCTAATAAAATTTTGTTTTATCAAATCAAGTATAACATAAGTATATTATGTAAAAAAATAGCTTAAACTCACCATTCTTTGACTCTGTTGCAGGTATATATCGAGATAATCTAACAACAGGGAGAGGCAAATAACCACTCGTCAGAGGCATTACATCTAACGTAACACTTTGCTTTTCTACTACTTCTAATGATACAATGCCTGCAGTCCGACCACATACCGCCCACATAGTTTGATCTGCTAGAACCTCATACATTAACTGTGGTGGAGGATTTGGGCTAAGACTAGGTAATACGCGCATCACTGTAAGACAGAGATGACACATACTACCAGCACGACAAAACTCTCCTCCACTACCGCTTGCTTCAACTTTTGAGGATACCGTGAATAAAGTCTGGAAAGTATTGTTAGGAATAAAAGAAAAAATTAATGTTATATATTGTTCTACATATTGTTCTAGGTATACAGAATGTTTTATCGCACTATAAGTTACTTGATAAATTAATAAATTACTTATGTTTTTTTCAAACCATAATTGTACTATAAGTTTTAAAAAAAGAAAAAAAAATAACGATATAATATACAAGTTACCATTAATCAACTGTTCTTTTATTTCAAATAATATTATTTAATATTTAAATGTTATTTATATATATTTTATATATATATATATATATATATATAATTATAAAACATATTAATCAATGAGATATAGTTATTCTTACCATGTAATCTGTAATATCAAAATTGCATCTGTAAAGGCTACATGCTTTCTCAATTCTTTCTAAATTATGTATATGTAACGGATCATCACCAACATGTGAATCATTTAATTCTTCTGTATCACTAATTGATATATATTTTATACGAAAGTCAGTCTTTATTGGCATCGTAGATCTCTCATCTTTTCCAATTTCAAGTTCCCACATAAAGGAAACATTCATTCCATTACCTATCACTAATCTTTGACCCGCCACAGGATTTAAACTTTTAAAAGTAACGTCTATCGATGTAGTTGTAGTTAATTCAGGTTCAGTTAATTGCAAAAGTTGATTTGTCAAACCAGTTACGACTATTTGAATAAATTTTCTTTGTTTTGCAGTATGAAGTTTCATATTAGACATTAATGGTGGACCAAAATGTAAAGGTATGCTGTCTTCTGAATCCCATGGACATTGTATGTTCAACTAAAAAGAAATGATGAGTAATTAAATTATTTGTAATGTTAAAAATTATTCGTAATCATATTTATATTGAATTTAAAAAAGAATATATAGTAATTATACAAATGTTAATTACTTTATGTTCCATAGATGAAGCATCCTTTTTCGGTGGAAGTTCAGCTAAAACCTTTAATTGTATCTTTATAGTTTGAAATGGTTCACACATTGGCAGTGATATCTCCAGTTCCTTTACCATTACTTTTTCGACACTTTGTGACTGCACCGTCAATCCGCGTGATGTACGTAACTTTAATTTCATTTCTTCAGTTATTTTTGTACTTCCGCTCGAAATAACTAACTCAATATCTTGAATAAGACCTGCCAATAAATCTCTGCCGCAATTTACAGATATCGTCGGCTGCGTCTTTGCTACTTCATAGCATAATCGTGGATTCAGTACAGATGATAAAAATTCTAATTTGTCTTCTATCACCAATGATAACTGACTAACTTTATAGAGACCTGGTTGATTAACTCTCCTTGTCAATATAAATGTATTTGTACCAGGTTTCATAACAAATTCATCACACGAAAGTGCTTTGCTAAAATCACCCTTTACATTAACTGAAGGTTTTCTATGTTTCGAACTATCTGAACGTCTCACGAGCGGCTTCGTATTTTTACTAAGAACGCTGGCAGATCCAAGACTCCTATCTTCTTTGTAATCCAAATAACTATATACTTGCAAGTGTAATAAACTAGGATCAAGCAATTTCATATCTTCTAATGTGCACTTTGATAATCTGAAACAACATTACAGAATAACATTATATATAAATAATCTTATAATTTTGCAATCTCTTATAATTTTTTTTAAATAACAAGACTTATATACATAAACAAATTTCTACAGCAAAAAAATTTATTCATTTTAATATTTACAATTGTACTGGAGGCTCAACAGGTGCTTTTAATCCTTTCTTTTTATTAGGTATGGATGGCTTTTGTATTTCCTCTACAGAGATAGCAACACTGGTGCATCTTATTTCACGAGGGAACAAACTCTGTACACTGATCTCGATACTAACTACACAGTCTTGTACTACCTTATCCATTACTTTAGCGTCCATACTGAGTATTATAAAAGCATATCCAAGTTCTGTGAGTAATGGTTGAGTTGAGGAGATCATTTTCATATATCCTAACATTTCCTCCAAGTATGTATTGCGTACAGTTATATGCAAAACATTTGTACTAGCTATTGCTGCGCACACTTTAGTATATTTTTCGACATCGTCCATTCGTTTATAACATTCGGCCAACTCCAACTGCGTTTGCGCAGCCAAGTGACTCCACCCTTCGTCCTTATAAGTTTTTAAAGCGTCAGATAGGAATGCGACTGCTTTCTGATTTTCGCCGAGTTCGCTATAGAATCGTGCCAATTCTTTGCCGATTAATCTGGCTGACCGAATACGGCCGACATGCTTGTATGTACCCATGGCTAATTCTGCATGCTCCAAATATTGTTTCTTAAATGCCTCTTTGGATGAAAGTGCTTCCTTTAATTTATCTGTAGGAGTTAACTTTCTCTCTTCTTGCGGCTCCGAATCTCCTATACCTGCTATAAGATACACAACTGTATGTAATTGTTCACTAGTCGGTTCACTTCCTGGCATTAGGCCACATAATTTTCCCAAGCTTCCTAACTGGAAATAATATATCATGGAAATCATGAAATAAATCAAGCAATTATATTTGCATCATCATTATATGTATCATTCAACTTATATATAGATTATTTAATAATAAAATAATATATAAAAAGATATAAAATTAATCCTAGCTTCAAATACATAAATTAGATTATTAATATAGATTTACCTTGTCTCTTGCAAGTGCCCACAAGCTAGCCATATGTAAAGAGCATAAGTCTAACTGTTGATTATTATCAATATTGTAAATAGATAACTGACATGCTTGCAAGACCTCTAACGCACAGAGAAACGACCAACATTCTACAGATCCTTCAGGCTTCTGTACCTCTAAAATTCTTAGTTCGCTCAATGTATTATGAACAAATGATAAACATCTTTGTGCAACCTGTATTAAGAATTTTTTTAAACAAAAAATTGCAAGATATATATTTGCATACAATATATTCATTAATTTATACAAACCTCCCAAGGTTTATTAAGCAAGAGTAACATGGCACATTGTCTACTAAACAAGTAACTCCTAAGATCTAATAAAGATGCCCTACATTCAGCCATAAGAAACCTTAAATGATGATTTGTACCATTATTTAAATTCACGCCTCCCCAGTTGTTGAGAGGCATTTGAAATAGATTTAACCACCCTGGAGTATCTATGAACAGTTTATCTACATTTAGGTTTTCACTTTGTATCGATATCCTTCCTCATTGTGTACATATGTGCATCTTTATTCCAAACTAAACTTTGAAAAAGTATTATACCTCCTACATTAGAATTGAGCACAAACTGTGTAAAGAGAGCATCTAATTCATCATATTGCACCAATGCTTCATCATACAGACCTAGCATTTGCAATGCAAACGCTAATTCTTCCTAAAACAATTTTAAGTCGATTTTATGTGTATGTAATAAAAACGATAACAAATTCGATATTTCAGAAATAAAGGTTTTAAGCAAGTAATTCGTAGAAGTGTTCTATTACCTGTAGAAGAAAATAATGACAGAAATTCCAATTAGGATTATTTCGCCTTTCTCTTTGCTCACGTATAATATCTTCAAAGCGTGAAAGAGTTCTATCGTATGCAGTCAACATCAAATGGCGAATACGAGTTATCAAGCCTCTCCATGATTCGGCAGAACGAGATTCTGATTTAATTGGATTAATTACGGCAAAGCATCTAACATGAATATAAAATACAAATATAAAAATTTCCATATTAAAATATAATTATTGAATAATTACATCAATTAGAGTTCAAATATAATTACCTGTCACCATTTTTGGCAGCAAAGTCACTTCGTATTTTATCCAAAACAGTTGTCCTAGGCAATAGTTTATTGGCCTTCTTTATATCATATGTTTCTACTAATACAATCATCCAATCTTGGATGTGATATAAATTTAATATTTTTAACCAGGCATCAATATCATCTCTGACGCTAGTCTTATAAGTATCAATATCCTGTAAATAGATGTGTAATACATATATATTTGTTACTAAGTTATTAAAAATTTAAATATAATCAGGTATTATTAATAATAAATAATATTTAAAAAATATACAAAAATCTTTTTTTATTTATTTACATATATATATATATATATATATATATATATACAGCAAGAAACTAAAACAAGAATATCAAATGGGTACTAAAAACTTACAGAACATTCAGTCCAATAAATATGAAAGATTGGTTGCTTAATGAGATGCCAATCTTTCTCAGTGGGCAAAATATCTCTGGAAAATGGCACAAAAGTAGCTCCAAGCTTAACTTGTTTGATAGGTCTGCTAAAGGACCTTCGCCATTCTACCATATCTGCAGGTATAGCTTGGAGCAAACTCTTCTCCAATGTAGAAAACAAGTTCTCATCCCCAGCACCTGTATTATCACACAAATTATTACATTCTTCATCTATCTACAAAACATCATATTCATAACAAAGCAGTACATTTACATAAATAAGAATAACATCTTATGCATCACAAAGTCCATCTCATATTTTTATTATCAGTTTACAGTTCAAATATTATATATAGATAATAAAAAGAAATCAGGAAGGATATTTAATTATCTAAAATAATTCAAATAATATTTTCTAGCGAAAATATGTTAAGCTAGCATATGTTTAAGACACATAAAAGTTGGAAAGTGAACCAAGAGTGTCTCGTGAATTTTAACTAAAACAATAAGCATCGATAATTCCGGATGAACGAAGAGGAAGAAGAAAAGGGAAGAAACGTCGCGAGAGATTTGACAGGTAGTCAAATGTCAAATCCGGAGCGTCAGCGAGACGGCGTTGTTATCGGCGTACCACGGCGAGGTTAAAGGATGGTTAAAGGATGCGCGAGGACTCACAGGTGACGATCGGTTTGCTATCCATGGGAATGTTGCTTTTGCGTGCCTCAGCCACGGACGAGCCTCCATTGCAATTCATCATTTCTGAGGACTGACACGGTACGCCTCGGCCTCGCTGCCCCCGATCGAGCCTTCAGTCATCACAGGTCCACGTCCCTCTCCGCATGAGAATCCTCGTCGTTCGCTGATTCGGAGATTTTCGCTAAGAGTTCGCGACGAGCTCTCGGAAATTCCGTAAGAAATTCTTCGCATGTATTCAACGACGATTTAGAAAACGAGACGAAACATTGTACTTCGCACTTTCAAACTCCATTGAGGTTGGAATCGGACTCTTCATCTGTGGTTGGTATATATGCCGTTTCGTATCGATTCAAGCGAGGATATCTCGCGATATCTCGCGTCGTGTCATCGCGATGTGTTTTGTGACATGTGTAGTGTAGTAAAGTTGTAAATGCAGTGATGTATGTATACGCTAAAAGACAAAGTATCGCATATTATACAATAATACTGATTAGTGACTAAATACTGCGTATCTCCATGAAAATTATATTTTTTTTTATATATGTTTATTATAGTTCCATTCACACCTGGAGCAAGAACGCAGATTGTAATTGTTGTTTAAAATGTTTATTATTTGTTGTTCAAACATATTTTTAATGGTTATTTTCATCCTATGAATTGATATCAAAAGTACTTTTTAACAATTGCGATGCATCGATTTTTAATGATGTTTAAAAACAATGTTATACAAAGTTTGTTCAAACGTTAACAAATCTATATAAACTTCAGGTATATGTATATTATAAAAGTTATTTTGATACATGTATATGTACTAAAATAACTTTCGAAGATAATTTTTTATGTAATTTTATTTATGCTTTTATGACACGAGATATTTTATGTAATTCTTCCTACATATTGATTTTATTCAAAATAACATGCTTTTCTTTTTTTAGAAATTTAATAAATCTACAAAAAGTACAAAATGTCAAAAAATGTAATTGAGAAAATACCTGGTGAAATACTATCTCAATCGAAAAAAGAAAGCCAAGGTTATATCGAGGATTTAAAAAAAAAACAAAAGTTTGAATTGGAAGAACTTTTAGAAAGACAGAATAAAATTTTTATTAATAAGTGAGTAATGTAGCATAAATTATTTTATTCTAGATATTTGAATTTTTAACTTACTGCGTTCTTTCAGAAATTTTATCTCTAAACTTCCTGATAAAGGAAGGAAAATTGCAAACTTCCGTGATAAGTTGTTGAAAGAACTTGAGCATAGAAATGAAGTGGAGAGAGCAGCTAATTTACTATCGCAATTAAATATAGCATCCATTGGCAAAGCAGCTATGACCAAATTAGAATGGACAGGAAAATACAATGAAAAAAATGACGATACAACCAAAATTGTTGAACTAGATAGTGATGACGAGGAAGATCCATTAAAAATATTAGCTCAGGTTGATTATACTTTAAATGAAATATTGATCATTTTTGTCTACAATTATTGTAAATAAATATAATTTTTGTGTTCTAATAGCCTACAGGAACTGGTATTCACAAGAAAAAAATTATACATATAACACATGAAGAAAGTCTTATCAAGCCAGAAGATATAGTAGAAATTGAATCTTTTAAAACAGACGATTGTTTAGATGTGGAACATGTAAAATATATCGTTGATAAAGTTGAAAAATCACAAGAAACAAACAAAAAGAAAGAATCATTTAAACCATATAAAACAACTAAAAGTAATGTACATGATCCTACAAAAGAGAAACAAAGGAAACTACCTAAAAACTGGGAGGTCACAGCAGCTACACCACCTCTTATAATTCATGGAGCAACAAAAGTCTTAAGCCTTAATGAATCTTTAATATTACAGAAGGAACAAACCAAAAATTTACAGGTATTTGATTTTCTTTACATCTTTTAAAAAATTTTTTTAGAAATCTATTTTTATATTTTATAATTAATTCTAAATATATTTTAATATTTTGTAACAGGAAATTCAAGCAAAACATGCAATAGAACGTCTAACCAATCAAATAGGAATGCACAGTATTGGTCTTATACCACAAAATATCGAAAATAATCAATTACGACAAACGAATAATTTACTTTCTTCCTCTTCATCTTCAGAGGATGAAGAAGAACATGAAGTACTAGATGAGGAAGATAATGACAGAAGTGGAACAGTTGTATTCACCGTAGATTCTATAGAGAATTAAAAAAATTATACATATTTTGTACATACACAGTTTTAAAAGTATTAACTTATTTTCATTAATAAAATTATTTTTCTAATGATAGGATTGTGCATATTTTGTTTTTGAATTTAAGTATATTTAAAAGACTTTATTGTTTTTACATTATTAATTATATCCAAAGTCATTAATAATTTTTGTGTATGGTTCTGTGGCCTTGGATACCGCTTCACCAGCCTGTTTAGTCAGTTTCTGCAGGAAAGAAAATGCAGTGATTATAAAATCTCGAGTTTTTTTATAAATAAAAAAATGAAAAACAAGAGAAATATCTATTTATAAGATTAATCACAAAGTTACCTTAAGTTTGTTTCTCTTCTGGACTTCAAGGATAGCCCTGACACGTCTCTTGTTCTCTAATGTGCGAACCACAGCCTTGTATTTCCATCCAACTTCGTGAGATAGTCTACCCACATGACAGTACTAAAAAAAAAAAAATTGAAATTTTTATTAGTGTAAATTGTCTCAATATCTTGTGATAAGAGCAAAATCATTTTTTGTGATATTTTATAGCTCAGTTTAAAGTGGCATCAAAACAAACTTCAGACGCAAATTACCATACCATCATTGCTATTTCAGTCAATAAAATTTAAATATATAAAAAAATTTAAATAAGCTTGAATATAAAACAATTTAGTTTACCTTTCTGCCTGGTTTAAGACACATCACTCTCATGGCACCAGGCACAACAACACGCTTTCTGCGATCGTATGGTGGTGGGCATCCTTCATAAACCTTTAATCGTCTGAGAGCATCCTTTCCTCTTTGCGTCTTATGTGGGATCATACCTATAATAGTCTTTGTTTTACTATTTTTATATTTTTGCTATATTATAAGACATTATATGTAATCTTAGCCTCATAAATAAATTTCTGTTCATTATATTATCAGATAATGTAGGTAAATGTGTAATCATGTGCAACAATTCCATTTTATATATTTGTTATCAATATAATCTTAACTTACCACGAACTGTTTTCCAGAAAATCTTGCTCGGTGCACGAAAGTGGAATGGGCCACGTGCAGGATTTACATTACATCTTTTACGTAGAAATGACATAAACTTCAACTTGTTTCTAAAAATAAACAATATAAATTATATAATTGTTCGTATCTTCTTATATAAAAAGCAAAAATCAAAATATATAGCACAATTATTAAAACCAAAAAAAATTTTTTTAAATAATTAAAAATTTTTTTAAAGAATATTAACCCAAATATTTAAAATCAGAGTTCAAATAGTATTTAAAAAATAGGGACATACAAACCTGAAGAAGTTGCCACTTATATTAAGTTGTTCGCTACGCACAACAACAACTTTGTTGCCTTGCAAGATAGTCTTGGCAACAATAGCCGCCAATCGCCCGAGTAAATGGCCGCGGCCATCTATTAATATTGCCTGAAATCGTAATATAATCATAACACTAAGATTTCAATTACAAGAATTAATGTAGTGCATATACAATACATGTGCATATTGCTTGCAGCATTATAAGAAGTTCAATATGTATAATCCGAAATATTTGAACCGGCGTATACATGGTACGAAAATATAGGATAAAATTAAGATTAAAGGTAAAAGATTCCTGAGATTTCTACCATTCGAAATATACATGCTGGAATTTTCGTTCAATCAACGCCATCAGACACGTGTACGAGAGGTAACGCAACTTTTGCATTTTTTTTCGATAATAGCCCTTTTTCAGAAAGCTTTGAAGAAGTCACATGTTACTTCTTTAGTTATGTAATCGTAACCACGTATACGCTCGGCACAAAACTCTCTTCAATCATTTAAAATATCGAATTTTCTAACACCAACCTTTTCACTGAAGCCCGTCATTCTCTTACCTCACCGGAAAGGAGTCTAAGTGAAAAGCTAACGGAAGTCGGCCATAATGTATACAGAGTGACCAACTGAAATTTTGATGGTATAATTTTTCCCTAGGTTCTCGAGAAGAAAAATTTTCCTAGGATTCGAATAGAGAAATAGAAATTACAATTTTTTTATACATGTATATATATTAATTATAATTTTTAACGCAACTAAATATAGTAAAAAATTAATATTTGTGAGTACCAAATAGATCTAAAAATAATGACAGTTTTAGCTCGACAGAGAGAGAAAGAAAAGAGGGAGGGAGAACGAGAGAATCACACACACACAAATATATATAAATATATACACAATCATAGATCTAAATATTTGTTCGAATATTTAAAAAATGATTAATTCTCATGGAAAAAATGACAAAGAACAGAACAACAGCATACATTTTATGTTTAAACATTTCATTTATTTAACAAGAAAATTGATATTTTACATGAAATTAAATTTATTTTATAAATCAGATGTTTTTTATTAAGTTTGACAGAAATGTACTATTGCAAATTTATCCAAATATAGTGTCAGCAACCTAACTTTCTCGATTTATCGCTAGTTTTTAATTTTTTTTGGTATTTTACAAGAATGCATTGGAAAATTTGATTGAATATAGCATTGTGCATAAGTACATAATGCATTACATAAGATAAAGGATATAGGCTTAAATTGAATATCATATCGAAATGGAATCAGTTGTTTCATTACCAAAAGAATATCATAAGTACAAACATGAATACATGCGCATAGAGTAAATATGTATATGTATTATTTAATATCTCACATTTACCCCGCAGTAAATACATGTTACTTGTGTAATCTGTTTTATTTATATGGACCTCAAATTAATGTAATCACAATTTATTATACCAAAGACACTTTGTTTTTCATGTATCATTTTTAGGAATATTATTACGCAATGCCATATACATATTCCTTTGAAGAAAAAAAAATGTTAACGGGAGACACTAATAAAAGAATATAAATAGTAATCTCCTTTAGACAAAAAAAGAAAAATATCAAGTTTGAGTGTTTCTTCTGGAAAGGATTATTATAAGAAAGTTATATTAGTGGAAAATTATCATCTTTCAGCAACTAAATATGCTATTTATTTCTGAGATTGATTATGCGAGAAATAACTTTATCTTTAGACAATTTTTGTACAAATGTCCTTTAATAAAGTTAATAATGATTTTGCCAAAATACATAATCTTCTAACAATTGCAGATTACTTATTAATTGTTTGTCTGAAAAAAAGTTAATAAAAACTTGTCAAAAATGAAAGAACACTTTGCAAATAGATTCATTGACATCAAAAAACTTGCTATTAATTTTTCGATTTTCATGAATTTTAGAAACCTTTACTCTAGTTTGTGTGTACATATATATTTATATATTACCGTGTGATTTCGTTTTAAATTCAAATTAAATAAATTTTCCCACTAACACATAACAACTTATATTTGTGTCAATTTTAGGACAAAACTATTGGAACTTAGAAAGTTTTTAAATCCTTTTAAAAGAAACACAGTCTTGCTAACTTCACTATCAGCCTTTCATTGATTATATATTTGAACAAAATATTACAAACGTAAATAATTAATTTGTTTCGAATTTGTAACATTTTTTTTTACTTTTAGCAAGCGTTTTTCTTTTTTTATTTTTTTTAATACTTTGCAAAAGATAATATTAAAGGTTTGAGTCTACACTCATGAAATATTTTTTGTGAGAAACAGCAACTACACGAAAAAATAAGTATTGCTTTTTTCCTCTTTTTTTTGTAGGATGTTATTTTGATATCAGACATCTATTTTTGTGACTAGCAATCTAACCAGTTGGAAATATTTTTTTAATCGATATTTATACGCACCATCTGATATTATTATTATTTTTCAATGTTATAGAAAAATCTTCATTACCCTTTTCAATTTCTCCACTTTTATATCTAACATTCTTGTTATATCACACAGTAAGATTATGTTAACAATAATCAAAATAGCCACAAGGCACATATATTGTAGATTTGTTGATATTACGTGAAAGACTTATACATAGGGCAATGAGTAATATACATTGGAAGACAATGTTGAATAATTTTGATATAATAATATTCTATGATGTTATCACATATAGAAATATCCAATTTTCAAAAAAATTTTATTGGATACTTATAATTGACATTTCGCGATTATCTCGTAATTAAAGATTTAGAGAGATCAAAACAAGTCTGTGTGAGACTTTATTATTGCACGTATTGCAATTTTTGCGCTGATATAGGAACAATACCCGTGCATTCGCGATATTTTATATCAGAATGAAATATTATTTTTGCATGTTAATAAACACAGACAGTAACACACTGTCTCCTTCCAAGATTTTAATGATCTTAAAATCCTCTCAAAAGAAAAAATATAAAATTCAACAGAGGATTGAATTTGTAGACAAGTAATTCAAAAAATGTATTATCGCATTCTACTTTGTGTACCTTGCCAATAAAAGTTGTTCAAAAATTAGGCTTAATATTACAAGGTACTAAGCATACAAGATGATCTTGGCAGTCTTATTTTACTTTGTATCTACTATCTTCCTTTCATAATGTTCTAGATCATCAGATCATTAAGCTATCAGCATTTAACAAAATGCCTTTTATTTAATCAGAACAGCCTCATTCAAAAGACTTAAAATATTATTTATCCTAGCTAATGATTATTCATTTCTGTGCTAATGTAGAAAGCACAATTATATGATGTAATCATCCAATGATATTGTTCTTATCTTGTTAAATATCAAATTTAGATCACGCGTTTTTTGCAGTCTCTCGTGTGTTACATTAATTGTCTGCTTAATTCTCTCAAATACATCCGGATCATAGACTGATCTAGCTGTGTTAGTCAGATCAAATGGTTCTATGATAGTGCAATAGTTTGAATAAGTGTCAGCAAAAAAAATGCTTTGTTTTTAAATCATCTATATAAAAAGAATATTTACCTTCAATACATAAATATTTCCATTGATGAGGATCATTTTTAAGTGACTGCACCATACGACACTCCTCTATCGGTATTTTCCTTGCTAAACGTACAGATATTGCATACTGGCTGAAACTAATTTTTAATAATTACAAATAAGTATTTATCAAAATAATATATATATCTTCTGAACATTATACATATAAATTAAAAATTACTTACTCAAATTTAGCATAGTATCTGAAAAATTCTACAAGTAATTCTCCAAGAGACTGATGATTCTCAGGTAAATAAACAGAGGATGGAATATTTAAATCTTCATGAATATCGATACTATGAATATCTGTATGTGGATTAAACTTGCCTGCAAACATAGAATGTAAGCATGGCAGAACTGGAAAGTTAACACCACCTGTAAAATAGTATAATTATTTGTTTATTTCAATATTTTCGAAAATAGATTAGTATAGAAAAAAATAAACATTGCAATATACATACATTGTAAAAAATGTATGACCATGAGAACTAAAGAGTAACTAGATATTGTCATATTTTTCGCATTATTAATGTCTTGACATTGAGCCCAAAGTTTTACGACAAGTACTAGTGGTCTTACCCTCCAATCAACTGTAAAAATAGGTCAAAAATAATATAACTAAAATATTCCTTTCAACATACTTATGAGTATAACAGATCTGTTCAAATTATTAATTAAACTTACGTTTTGAGTAACAATATAGCAATTGTGTATTCCTGATACCAACAGCATTATTACAATTAAGATCGACTTTTAAGTTTTGTGATCTATGATGAAATTGAATAATAGGTACTTTTGCATGTATAAGTTCGAGCTCATCAATGACATCTAAACATAACAAAAAAAGTTCGTTGTTAAAATGCCATATATGTAAAGCTTACTAAAGTAACATTCTTAATATTTCTGTTATTTATCTTCCTTCCTTTTTACATACCATAATTTTTTAGATATTTTAATATTTGTTCTAAATGTTCTATAGCTTCATATTTTTGATCCATTTCTGTGTGTCTCACTAAAAGGCACATGTCGACATCGCTATTATCCGAACCAAACCCATTCATTGTTGAACCAACCAAAAATAAACCATATTTTGGATATTGAGTCTATAAGCATCAACATTTAAAACATATAAATTAACACATAAAACATATACAAACAAGTAAATTAATTAATATGCTATTTCAAAGTCTGTTTTTAAATATTAATATTTTATTTCTTATCAATCTATTTTGTACCTTATTTGTTTACCTTATTTTTACATCTATTTTATTTACCTTAATATAAATATAAAGTTGCTTCCATAACATCATTTTATTTCTGTAAGTAGTTTCAGTTTGTTGATTTGATAGAAATTTTGCCCAGATTTGTTGCGACAGATTATCCCATTTTGATCCAGTCAAAATATTGTTTGGCGTAGAAGTTACTTCCATTAAATGAGATCTAGCAAGAAATCTATCAGGGGCGATATATCTAGAAATATTGTAATTCGGCAATAAAATTTCCGGAAATTTACGATTTCTCGAAAACCTTTGAGAAGGTGCACTTTCACTCCTGCCTAAAAACGAATTCTATTTAATATGAAGTAAATCAAATTATAATTTTTTTTATACTGTTACACATTTTCTAAATTATATAAGTAGAGTCCCTATTATATTAATTAAGCTTGCATTCTTCCCTTTGCTGCTTTTTCACTATTTATATTTGTAAAAAATGGTAATAATTCAATCGACCAATTCTGGCAAATAATTAAATTTATTGAATTTTCACAACGTTTCGGCCGTGGGTTTCGGCCCTTATCAAGTGCTATGTTCTTAAATCAAAGTATATCACAACTTTTTTTAAAAAACAAAAATTCGATCTTAAAATATGACATCATAAAATAACATGATAGTATAAAACGAAATATTTCGTTTTATACTATCATGTTATTTTATGATGTCATATTTTAAGATCGAATTTTTGTTTTTTAAAAAAGTTGTGATATACTTTGATTTAAGAACATAGCACTTGATAAGGGCCGAAACCCACGGCCGAAACGTTGTGAAAATTCAATAAATTTAATTATTTGCCAGAATTGGTCGATTGAATTATTACCATTTTTTAATTATCATCTGGTGACTTCATAGTTTTATATAATTTATATTTGTTATATACATCATAAACATGCATCCTTTTTATTTACTTTCTCGCTTTAATGTAATCACGCGACAATTGATAATATATGAATATTGGGATACCAATACAAGGAAAATGATAAATAACATTAGAAGACCCGACAAGAGATCCTCTAATTCAAATCAATCTATTAGTAGTTATTCTAATTAGTTGTACCAACAATAGAAGGATGCTTGACACTGCAGATATTTTTACATATTTATTAGAGAAAGCTTACCTGATAAATATTTTCTCCTGTTCTGATAATTTTGAGCCTGAGATCTGGGGGTGGAAACAGTAGTATTGTAATAATTGGCAGGTCGTTGATTTTGATAAAACTGTGCAGATGTATTTGAAATTAAGCCGTTTGATGTTGGTTTATTGATTGCTCTATCTGAATGTATTCTATGATGTTTCCTGTGTGGAAAAAAATTATTTTACATATACACACACACACACATGTATGTATATATATATATATATATATATATATATATATATATATATATATACCGCTCCTCTTTTTCTCTTCTTCTCTTTAATAATCGATAATATATATTTGCTGTAGACTTTTGAAGAGAAAAGTAGGAGTATGCCTGGAAATTACATAGTAACAAATAATTTTGAGGGTGCATTTATATTTACTTTATCCCCTGTCCTCTTAATGAACCTGTGGAATCTCTTTCGTCTGAACTCTCTGTTAGACTATTGTCAATATGGTACTTGTTTGGTGTTGGTGAACGAGAACTAAACCCACTGTCACTATTATATGTCTCATACTTGGAATAAGAATTTCTATACGTATTTCGTCTACCATTTCTGTTATTCCAACTTGGTTTTTTTATTGAATTAGTATTTGTAGGCTTGAAGTTATAATTTGGGGATGGAATAATTGAGGTATTGTTAGATGCACCCATTCGTCTGTCCCAATTTGCAGAAGATGAATTATTATTTGATTGCATATGTTCTATACGTCGTAATGATACATCATCAACTCCCAGTAATGATAAATCTAATGAATGGGGTCCTGTCTGTAAAAAGAAATTATTACTTGTATATTTCAACAGAAAAAAATTTCTCTAATACACATTCATATTTTAAATTAAAGACACCAAAAAATTTTTATATATATACCTGCATTGCTTGATGTCTATTATATCCAGAAATATCTGGAATTCCATACGATGCAAAATCAGTTTGATGTAATCCATTTATGCTATTAATATGCAATGTGTGAGTTTGTGATGGATAGGGTCCATTCATTATTTGCATCATTTGTGATGGAAACATTTGGTACATTCGGTAGTCAATATAGATATAGAAGATACAAGATGTGAACGTGATATATGCCGTCCTTGAATGTGTGCAACTTCTTTGTTTAATTGCTAATATAGCACTTGGTGATCCTCATAAATATTTATAGAAATCAATGGTGTATACAAGGCACACAATGTTGTTATTGAATCTTGGAAAGTTTTATTCAATTTACACATATATATTTAGAAAATCTTGTTTTCTTTTTTATTTTCTTGCTTTTATATTTTATCTTTTTTTTAATATTTTTATATAGTTTTGCAAAATTTATATTTTGTATCTTGTGAGATTCACTATGTTAATCTAGAATTTAATAACATACATAACAACTCTAATAATAATGCAAGAAAATTAATAATGAAACAATAAGAATTCAAAAGCAGTGACACTACATTTATTGTGTCTATCTTTTGTCAGAAAGTTTTATAGATACACATATATATGCATGTGTGGAATACACAGGCTGTAGAAATAAACTGTTAAGTAAATTAATAATTATATTTAACGAGAAATACTTTCTCTCTCACAGTATTTTGCTAAATGAAAATTTATACAAGGCAAGTAAATAATCCATATGTTTTTGATCAATTACTATCAGATTTTCTGTAATCTCAATTCAGGTACTCTTGCATTTGATTTTATATATAATTATAATTTTACTTGCAAATTGAATACTTCTAGAGCTTAATTTTTAGATATTTTCAATTGAGATCTAATGTGATTGCCTTTACTCTCTTTCAGAGTTTTTAGTTATATATAAATACTTATTCTCTATCACAACCTCCTGAAAAAAAAACAAAAAAAAAATAATTTTATAACATTATTATTATATGTAATACATAAATTATTTAGTACAGCACAAATTGTAATAGAATTATTTTACATAAAAAATATGTATCTTCGAATAGAATATCAGATTAATTTTATAACATAAATATCTTATATTTTTATAATAGAATATAATAACGTGAACATTCGAAAGTTGCAAAATTGCTTGAATATATTCATCAAATCAGATAATTTTCTATCAGAAACTGAGCCAAGAGTAAACACGTGCTACATAACGTGCACAAACACACGCACACATACGTACAAAAGATATTAAATATTTTTCTTATTCGTGTGTGTGAGAGAGTGAGACTTCGAGTCACGTAAACAGAAATGAACTCTGTACTGCGAGAAATAAACAGAAGCAGTGATATTACCTGCTTTCAGTCGCCATGTTGCGGTCAAATTTGTTCTTAGAGGAACGGAAAATTTGTCAGACAACTATCCTTCATTCCTCCGGGCCTTGCGTTTCCGACTATCGGTGTGTGCGTACATACAATGGGCAACAAAATCAGAAATGCGATGCAGCGTTATCGCGACTGCCACCGCGATGTCTAAACCGGCAGCAATTTTACGATAACGTGCGTTATATGCTTCGGTGACGAATGCCTCTTGCTAATTGATACCGCACATTCAATCACTATCAACGCGAATCGCCACATGCACAAAAAAAAACCTAAAACGTTTAAATTTTCAAATCTTTGACGTAATGGACGATTCTCATTTCACGTGTTTGACAGATGTACCGTGAGGCGGCGGTGCGATAATAATCGCGCGTATGCGCAATACACGATTGTATTTTAGCGTATATCCACACGTCTCGTACAAGTCCTAATGAAGAATTCACAGTATATTCTCGATTCTTCGACGATGACTTGTGAATTGTAATTCCGACATTTTGTTCCTAGAAATATTCTTCTCCTATTGGAGTCACCAAATTTTAGGGAAATTTTTAGGTACGTAACATTGACAAGAAATAACCAATGAAATTCGCGCAAGTTTTAAAAAATATATAGATGTTTATATACTCTTGAAATTACAAATGCATTTAATTGTTCACTTTTTTGAAAAATTAAAAAAATTATTAAATATATAACAAAAAATATAATTACTATCTAAATTCATTAATGTATGTATTGCATAATATATTTTATTTTAATATAAATATTTTGAAGTATGTGCACAATATAATTTCTACAAAGTATACATCTTTTATTTAAATTTTCTAATTAAAAATTAATAAAATATTTATGTATATATTATGTGGTGTATGTATTTTATCTTATAATGAATCAACAATTAGACATTTTCAAATCAAATTTATTTTCTCATAAGAGGTTTTTCACAATAAATTTTAATATTGTAATCTGCTATTATAATTATAGCGGTGCGCTGTTGGTCGGACAGAAGAAATAAATGAATTTAGTGTTATATAATGCAAGTTACATTAATTATTACTTAATCTATTGCAATAATAACAAGAATTCATTACCGCCAGAAGCCAGTACAGACAGAGTATAGAATTAAAAACAGAAATTCGGAAAGAACAAAAGAGCGATCTCCGAATACAAAAAAAAATCCATACGACATTCTAGTCAGTACAGCAAGTAAAATATTTCGAATGGTAATGAGTTGCTTGTACCATTACGGATAATGGTAATGTCCGAAACACGCAATGACATAGTCACATGTGATTTTTGCAGTAATAGCTCATATTGCCATATCTACGCCAAAATACACAAATCAAAAATTTCATTCCTAAGCTTATAATTATCGTTTCGCACGTTAATCCTTTCGCTACGAGAAAAACCATTATATATATATATATACATATAAGTGGCTCATCAAAAACTTTTCCTGTGTAGAGATACGTTGCAGTGATCAATGCGTCAAGTTATTAAACAAATTTCCAGTAATTACTTAATCTTCATCGATTTGTACGACAAATACAAATCATATTTATATAATGTTTTATTGTATGTGTGTACGCGATGCAACAAAGTTATAAATTTTAACTCTATACATGGAAAAGAATAGTATTACTCTCTCAGAATAGAGTAACATTTTACTGCGCTGTTCATTTTCATTCATTTTCTATCGTTGCGAAAAGATTAAAGAACGATGTATAAGACGCGTTATATATATGTATATATAAAAGAAAGTATGATAATATATTTTGATAAGCTGTGTCTATACCCGATTACATTAACCGCTAAAAATCGATATTACCACGTCACTAAGGATCTACTGAAAGAAAGCAATCTCTTTAAACGATGCGTTCTGTTGACCCCTGCGCGGTAAGTAAGCAATAGATATAACATAAAGAAAAAAAAACTAATCGATATGATTAAAACCACCGATGAATTTTCTCACAACCGGCGAAGACGCCGATCCTCTGAGAAAGGATGTGTCCCACCTCCGTGTGATGACGTTAAATATGCTGTTGGCCTCATCATACTGTCTGACGAAGATTTCAATTGGCGACTTTCTTTTCTTCAACAAAATTTCTTCCCGCCGGAAAAATCGATATCGACTTTCAATGTGTGATATGCACCCACACATTCGAGCAGTAGCAAGTTCGTAGTAGCGATGTTATCTTATTCTCACAATTGGAGATTGATACAAAGAAATTCGGATAACGGATTCTCCTTCCTTTCTATTTCTCTTATGTTTTCTGTTCGGTTTCTCAATTGTTGATATTTGTGGCGAAGTGGCAGAAACATGTAGCATTTCGGTCTGTTATTGCGAAATCCGATCTTCTTTTATAGTTTATAGACAGCTCTAAAGTCCTCATCCTTCAGGAACTTCCTTGCTTTCTTCGTAGTTTCGTCCGATCATGATGCTACATTGGCACACTTGAACTCAGTCGAGTCATGAAACGTTCCATTTTTTTCTTTCTCTTTTTTACGTTTTTATATATATGTATATATTTTTTTTAAATTCTAGCATTACGCGATATCCCCGCGATAAAACGGTCCGTTCAAGGTGTCATGACTGATGGTTTGTCGTTTGTCGTTTCCCAGGCTGTGGTGGATGTCCTTTTTGTTGTTGTCGCACTTGTGTTACAGTCAGTAAGATAATCATGAGCCTTGCGCATGTTTTCGTCCATGGTGGAGTTCGCCAATGGCGAATTAGCTTATGGAACTTTCGTTCTCTCCGTTCATATTCCCCTTTCTCTCACGTCGACGACATGAGCATATCCTGCAATATCGTACTCGATCGTCGAGCCGTTTTACCGTTTTGCGCAGTTAGTGATTTGTGGTTGCTGGTCGAAGAAGAATTGGTCGAATGAGCCTTCATGGCATGGCAATTGCTTTGCTCAGCCGTAGGTAGATCTCGGTTCAGTAGGGCTGCGAGAATTGTCCTCCGGCTTGCGATTGGCCCGATTGATAGAAACCACTTCGATCTCCCTGATAGGTCGAATCCTGGGACAACAGACCGTCCATCTGCGACTGGAATTCGCCCACTGCAAATGAGTCCTGAGAAAGCTCCGCTTGACTGAGACCAGGCTGTGAGAGACTGAAACCAGGCTGGGACATGCCTTGAGTCGTGCCCTGAGTCAATGGCAGACCTGGTTGGCTGTACGGCTGTGTGTTTTGCTCGGTTTGACTACTCAGTTTACCCATACGCGGACCAGACTTGTTCTTCACCGAGGCGGCGGCGGTACCGCGTCGATTTCTCTGATTCTGACGAGCCTGTAATGCCTGCTGATGTTGATTGTAAAAGCGTGGCGGCACGTGCGACATGTTCAGGAATATACCCATCGGCACCGGCACATTGTTCATCGCCGCTTGTACTCGTTCCGGGCTGATGTAGGCGATGGTATCGTGAGTGCGATTAAACATCTCAAGCGGCATGTTTCTCTGATAATATGGATTGTGATTTTGCGAACCGTTTACCTGGGTGCCGGAGCGATCATATATTGATCCAGGGATCAGAGCTTCGCGCGCATCGTACATCGACGTCGACATAAAATGCGAGCCTGGATTGGACGCGTTCACGAGTTTTTTTGGTTTAGCAAATTGGATCATAGATTCCTTCAAATTGTTCAACGGTCCTTCGACCAGCACCTTTTGTTCTTTGTAAAAGTTGAGCAGATGATTCCAGAGTGGTTGCTTTGAAAGTACCTTAGGATTTCCTACGATGATGATACCGTATTTTGCGCGAGTCAAGGCCACGTTCAATCTTCGAGGATCGTTTAAGAATCCAATACCCTGATGTTCGTTAGATCGTACGCAGGACATTATTATTATATCTTTCTCGCGTCCCTGAAAAGCATCCACGCTTGCTACTTCAATTTCCTGATACAATTTCGAGTGCAAAGAACCTTGATACTGCATGTACTGCACGAGATAAGCCCGCTGACCTTCGTACGGGGTTATCACTCCGATCTGTTCCGACTTTACGCCGCAACGTAAAAATCGCGTAGTTATCTTTTCCACATTGGATGCTTCGGTACGATTCAAATAGGATGTTCCGCTTCCAGCTATCTCTTCTTGACCTTGCGTAACGTAAAAGAACATTGGTTTATCTGGCGCAGGCCAGGGAAAATCAATCTTCAGTAATTTTCTCTCATCAGCGCAAACGCCATTCTGCAGAGAACCTTCGTAGAAGAAGTTAGATGGAAATCGCGAGAGATCAGGATGCATACGGTATTGCACTTCCAAACGGAAGGGTCTAATTCCCAGTACCACGAGTCTTTCAAATAGAGATTGTGACAGACCAGCTCTCGCGGCTTTCTTACACATCACCACTGGACCCAATTGACAATGATCACCAACAAGGATCAATTGCTTAGCTCCTAAAACAACAGGTACCATGCACTCTGGTTCGGTAGCCTGCATGCTCTCATCAATAAGTATAGAATGGAACTTTAATCGATGCAATCTGGGATCACCAGCGCCTACGCATGTGCAACAAATTACATCTGCCGCTTCTAGAAGCTCTTTTTCCGCTTGTTTTTTCAAGAGTCTATAGCGTTTTTCATCAACGCTCGAAAGTTCACCTGTCTCATCTTTCAATTGTTGTAATTTTTGCAATTCGGTGTTCGTCTCCATATTCTTTATCTGATTATGCAGCGCAAGAAAACTCACTGGCGAATCAATAGCCTCTCGCGATTTGGCACATAATCGTACGACTTTCAAATTTGATTTATGTATCTTCTCGGTTAATTGATCAACAGCAGTGTTGGAAGGAGCACATACGAGAACAGGACCTCCATTTTGTTTTACCAATTGATAAACTATAGTAGCACTCGTTACGGTTTTACCTGTTCCAGGTGGTCCTTGGATCAAGGACAAGGGTCGTTGTATTGCATGTTTTACAGCGTATACTTGTGATCTGTTCAAATCGGGTAAATTCGGCGCACTAAAGTGCTTGGGAAGATGACAACGGAACAAAACTTCTTCTACTTCATGACCTAGTAATCTGTGATATATGTAAGCCGATACGGAAGTGTCATCAACAGCAAACTTGCGTAATGCAGATTGCATTCTACAACAGAAAATAAAAATATTTATTAAAATCATAATTACATAGAAAACAATATCGATATTCTAATTTTATCAATGATTCTTACCTATCAAAACTCGTACTCTTCCAAATGAAATCAACAACAAAGTTACTGATGCATTCTGTTGGTGCTCCCGAATTATTTTTCAATTCAATTCCGACTTCTTCCCCATAATTGTCCGGGATCTTAATCACATGTCCAATTCCGGACCAAGGCTTATGAAGTTCTCCCAAATAACGGAGTCTCAGTTCATCTCCATGCATTAATTTCATATCACCATCGGTTTTAGCTAGCATAAAATATGCGATAGTCTTCTTGTTTAATCCAACATCCCATCGTACTTCAATATTCTCTTGAGTTTGAGATTCTTTCAATCGTTTATCATAATCGGCTTCTAATTTTACAAGTGGACCAAAAATATTTTGATACTGATAACCATCCTCATAGCGTAACAAAACTTGCTGCGGTTCCTCATCCACTCCAGGCTTTTCAAGATCTTGAAAAGTAGCATCAACATTGTCTCGCCATAACTCTTCCAATTTATTAATCTGCTGTGCTGAAATCTGTCTAGCTCTTAATTGCTCTTGTTCAGATGGTATCTTCACTAACCAAGATAGAAAACTACGATCTTCAATCAAAGGTTTCCACTGCTCTTGATCCCTGTATATTTTTAAAATATATTAATACACAATTATTATATATTAAAAACATTGATACTTGTATGTATATATATAAATATTAATAAATCATCATTAAATAAATTTTTTGTACGTTATGTGTAATTAATTAAATTTCAAATTTACTCTTACCAATTCATATCTTTCAAAGAATTCTGTGCCGCACATGGTTGGCGACAAAGCAGCACAACTACAGAATCAGCTCTTGCAGGAATAAAACCCAGTACAAAAACATTTCTTGTAGCACAGGAATAACATTCCAAAACAGTTTCCCCAAGAGGACCATCTCTGTAACAAAAGCAATATTAATGAATTTTTATAATTAAAAAATATTACAAATAAGTAAATTTGAAGAATGTTTCAAATCTGCTTATTTATACAAAATCTGTTTATAATGCATCTCTATGACTTTGTAATATACAAATATGTGAGAATAAAAAAGTAAATCACCTATGTAATGTAACTTCTTTATGTTTAGCACGAACAAGATGATTGATAATATGTGATCCTGATGTGTTACCGCGTCCATTACAAAACCATTTGCGGCAAACGTTACACATGACCACACATGATGCCTCGTGGATACCACAATATTTACATGCATGTTCAGGTAAATCACGATTATAATATGCTTCCTCTTCCTCTTCCTCAAATTGCAATTCGGCAAGACTTTGAGCTGCTCCAGAAATCTTTAAATCCAACGATGAACTACCATTTGTTCCATTTACCTAAATAATAATATAAAATTACAAAAGTGAAAGGAAATATCAGAATATTAAAATTGAAAAAAATCACTGATAAATGACTTAAAAAATTTAGATGGAATATTTAAAAACAAAAATATTTCAATGCATATAAATTTTTGTGTGAAAATAAAACTGAAACCTAATCTTTTCTACAAAACATATAGCGTTTCTCTCACAAAATTATTATGCTAAATAAATTTGACACAAGACATTATAATTTTATTCATTTATAGAAGAAATTAGCTTCTTAGACAAAAGTAATACTCATTAAAGAAAATTATCAATCAATTTTTCTTATCTAGTATCGTTTTAAAGTCAAATACATATATACTATAACTTTAAAATTTAATTGTTATAGCTGAGATATAAGATATGCAACTTGCATAACTTTGCAAAATTCTAACACAAACTTAATCCGACTGACTATAAGAAAGAAAGAGAGATACAGACTGTCGCGATCCACACGCATCCACAGATGTGGATTGATCTCGCATTTCTTCGATTTAGTCACATATTTCTTAAGCGACTCCGGAATGCGTTCGCCGGAAATCTGCGAGATTCCAGTATCGGGAAAAAATACGGGGTCACGGAACAAAGATAAGAGAGACAAAGCGAAGAAAGAGTATCGCTTTTGTTGCCGCACCCCTGGGGATCGCGCAGCATGAGGTTAGGCCGCGTGGCCATGAGAAAGAAAGAATGCACTTCCGCCTAGAAATATTCCGGAAGCAATTCGTTCCCAACCGACGAGACCGTGCATGCGAGACTCCTCGAGCACTTCTCGACCGACCTGAACGGGTTGACTGGACTGCGTCTGGGCCGCATCGTGCTGCGAGGCCTGGGTCTGGCTCTGCGAGGGCAGGGTGAAGTCGGTGAAGTCGAACTCGCTGCCCTGGGTATCCGCGCCGATCAGATCCGTCTCCTCGGTGTCGAGGAACGTGAGGGTCTGGCTGCTGGGACCGTACGCGTCGACGCTCATCCTGGACGATTCCCGGACCCTCTGAGATGACTTTCTCGAGAGTATCCTCTACGACCTTCCTCGCCTCCGAAATCCGAATTCACCCCCGAGTGTCAGCGAAGAGTTCGCGCACGTTTTCTCGCGAGCGTGACAATACGCGACGCGTATCAATGAACGTGCGGACGGATACGCGGCAAGAGTTGACGAGCCGCTCGACTGAAGGCCAGTTGCAAAAATGGAATCCGCCAGCTCGTTGAAGTTTTCTCTCCTACGTCGCACCCTGGCTATTCCGCGACCCACCTACGGACACCGAGACGGCACACAACTGTGCGAAATTCTCTTCTCCCGCACGCGAGAACGCTCGTCGTATGTTACGTCATCAGCTGATCGAGGAATCGCAAGTGAATAGCGAGAGCAGAGTGGACGGAAACGGTCCTTCCTTAGGGCGACTTTATATAGAGATGAACTAGCGCGCGCACTCTAATGGTGCCTCGTGACGACCGAGCGACCAATGACGGAGCGACTTTTCCGTTGGAGAGTTCGCGCGGTCGCCCGCAGATGGCGACACCGGGACAGTTTTTTTGCGAAAATTCGAATTCGGCGCCGGCAGTCGGCAGCCATTTGTACGCAACCGAAATCGGAGAGCACATCGAGATCCAGCATCCAGCATCATCCGAAGCGATCGAGGTATATAATCTTTCAATTTATCTCTAATTCGTCTCTGGGAGCCCAAAGTAACAGTCAGTAAATAAGTTTTAAGTTTTCGAAAAGGTAAATTTACTTTTCAATCTGTACTCAACGTGTGTGACCTTGACGAAGTCGAAATTTACTAATTCGTCGAAATTTACTATACTAATTCGAGAGGAACGAGAAACGAAATCACTGCGATCAGGCGCGAGATATGTATTTTTTAATTGCAGAGCACATGAATCGTGTCAATTTCGAGGAATATTGAAATTCCAGTGTGTCTCAATCACGACACGTGTTTTACGATGCAACGGGACACGATGATGCAGATGAGCACCCGCGCGATTACTTTCACACATGCACAAGGTTGGTCTCTTTTTTTAATTTTGACCATTTCAAAACGCTAATCTAATCTGATAAAACGTATATCAGTTTTTATTATTTTTATTGATATTGCTGCTATTATTAGATTGTTATTTTAGCTACACACTTTTCTATTTTCTTTTTTTAGGAAAATTTTAATAAATATATGTATTCTAGATAATACATAAATGCCACACATATTTATTTTCAGAAAATAATCACTGAAAAAAATTTGATCTCTAAAGTTTAATTAGATTCATAATAAATTACATAAATTTCGTAATTGTTGACACTAATTAAATTTTCATTATAACTTGCTTGCAATATTAAAAAAAAATCTATATATAATTTAATATATAGTTTACCTCTTTTTCAGAATAATTTCAATTAATGGCAGCAAATTATTGAAAATAATATAATGATACGTTACATATAAATACATCAGATCGCTTTGATTATCACAAACGGCTTTATCGATGCCGTCAAAAATAAATAATAAACAGGAATTTATATAATACGAACAGACTATTTTTAGGTTCATTAACATTCCATAAAATATATTATCAGCAAATAAAATATCTGACACAGAAATCAATGAAACAGTAATAATATTAATATATGATATTGTCGATAAAAAATGACAAAAAAATAAGAGAGTAAAGTTAAAGGAGTTATAAACATTTATTAACTAGAATTTATATACAGAAATTTTCTCAATCGCTTAAAGATTATACGTTTTATGCGCGATTATTTTAATTTTTCACTACAATAACTTTCATCGTACATTCATTACAAAGAATCACTACTTTTGTAATTTGTACAAATGTAATAATTTACGTGATGCATTTATTATGAATATATTTCAAGTCTACACATACGGAAAAGAAATAATATAGTCATAAAAAATAGAGTATAGCATAGCATTTTTGTCTTACAGTCTTTCATTTGGTTCCAACGTTGCGAAAAGATTTTATTAAAACGATCTTGCGAGTGAAGCTTTCATAATAATCGGAAAATCAGTACACGCTTCACTGCAAAGATTTGGCGTGGCAGTATATTATAACACTGAATTAATATATTCTCTTTTGTGTGAAGTAAGAATTAAATTAAGATCTCTATATTTACATATGTGGGCAGACAACAATGTATAAGTCGGTTCATTTTTGACATAATTAAGCTAAAATTTTTATAAATTATATGATATTATCATTTTATACGAAATTTCGAGGATAACATTTCTGCTTTTGGCAGACACATTCCTTGATCTTCTCCCCTTACACATTATTGTTTATTCTCTCGCTACGATTTTAAATTACGCTTTCCTAATATATATGTAATAGATCTAATAATATATTATAAAACATCGATATAAAAGCTCAACGATCATATATCGCACGGCTCATTTTTTTCAACATACATTGTGCAGAAATACACAATGTATTTATCTTATATATATTGTAATACCTATATTTACAAGTCTCAAATTTATTGACGCCTCATCATCGACATAAGTAGTATTGGTCCGATATTACTTTCACGTTTTGTAGAACGAAATAGGAAGTCGCAAATGTATAAGAGAAGAGGTTTCATACACAGAGAGATTTTTCTCTTTCAATTTATCCTAAAAATCATGTTAATCGTGGGACAATATATGATATTGAAAGAATTTTAAAAGAGTTTCTAATATTTTTAACACAATAAAAAATATTGATATCTACTACAATAAGATATAAAATGTTCGATTAATTTTACTATAGTAATACATTATAGTAAAATTTATTATGTACATATTAATATTTTTTATTGTGGTAAATATTAATCAGAGAAACTCAGGTTCTTCCAATATTGCTACGATTACCATGATTTTCAAGGTAAATTCTAAGAGAAAATTCTTTCGTGTAGAACCAGTCATTGCAAATAGCATACTTTATAACATATCAGGACGATCTAGAGAAGGCTCTTATCGAAGAGCCTAAAATTTTTCAATAATTAACAAAAAGTTATATTTCTCATTGAGAACGAAGTAATTCGCTGATCGCGTTCGACTGGATCCATCGGTTTTTTGATCTACAGTCAATACTGAGGATTCGGTGAGTTTCTTTGGAAGTTATTCTGCGCGCTCTGACTCTGTTGAAGAGGCCCGGCCGGGCTCGGTCTCCCCTGATCACGATATTGCGGCGGTCCGGGCATCTTTCCGTAATTTCCTCGTGTGCAGCTCTGATAGCTTCCGTACGCAGAGTCGTCGCTGCGTCTTGAAACGTGGCCGTACATGCTCTCGGGTCGTCTGGTACTCGGTACGTTATCCGAGTTAGTCGACAGTGGTCCGTTCTGATGCGGTTGTTGTTGTTGCTGCTGCTGCTGCTGCTGCTGCTGCTGTTGCTGCTGCTGCTGCTGCTGCTGCTGCTGTTGCTGTTGCTGCGGCGGCGGCGGTGGCGGTGGATGATTCTGTATCGAGGACTGACCGCTGCTTTGACCGGACTGCTGCGAATTCTGGCTACTCGGCGGCGGCGCTGGGGCGCGACCGTAGATGCTGGAACCAGTCGACACCCCGTAGATACCGTTCTCCCGCGTGCTAAGACTCGTGGAGATCCCGCGGATCCCGTAGATGCTCTGCGTGCACTGTTGCAATTGATTCTGCATGTTCTGATTAGTGCTGTTGTGATTCTGCGAGGACTGACTCGGCGGACCGCCGGGGATCGGTTGGGTTTGCTCGCGATTGCCAACTCCGCTCTGACAGCCTCCGTTCTGACCGAGTCTGATGGGGTACAAGCTTTGGGCCGGCATCAGTGGCCCCGGCTTCGGGATCATCAGGCCGTCCCGCGGACCCGATGTCGATTTCGCGTAGACGCTCTGCGAGCGATTCAGATTGGCGCGTGTCAACGGGGGCGATTTGCAGTAGAGCGATTTGGTCCCGCCGTAGATCGACTCGACTCGCTCCAACGCGGACGGAGGCGCGCTGTAGATCGACGACGACGCGCCGGCTACGGGACGATAAGTCGCGTAAGCACCGGGGAACTTGGGCCCGTTCGGTTTGTCCAGGTCGTCGTACGTATCCTCGTCGGATCTCATGGACGAATTATCGCCGTCGTCCATGTCGCGCGAGTCCTTCACGCGTCTGGGACTCAGGACGTACTCGTGAAGCAGAGCCGCCACGGCGCCTCCAGAAAGCGGACCCACCCAGTAGACCCAGTGGTTGTCCCAGCGATTCATCACGAAGGCCGGGCCTAGTGCGCGCGCTGGATTTAGGAAGGGACTCTGAAAGGGAAAAGAAAATTATTAAATTATTTTGATATTTTTTTTTTTTTAAATAATTCTTTACATCTTTCTTAGACAATTTTTAGAGTATTGTGAAATTATATACAGAGATAATTTATTCTTAGAATTTTTACCTGAAAATCATGGTAATTGTGGAATAATATGGAAGATTGGAAGAATTTTATAAGAGTTTCTTTGATTAATATATCTATCTCGATAAAAAATATTAATATCAAACACAATAATAAGATATAAAATGTGTGATTAATTTTACTAGGTACATATTAATAGTTTTTATTAAGCAGTAAACTCTTATAAAATTCTCTCAATACCATATTGTCCCACGATTACCATGATTTTCAGTGTAAATTTTAAAAGAAAATTATCTCCGTGTATACATAATTATATTAATATATTTTCTCCTAGCAAATTATACAATTGATTTTACACGCACTCTCTCTAATATAATATATTTTATCATTTTTATACTGAAGAGAATATAAAAAAAATAGGCAAAGATAGGAATGTATAGATCTAGATAGTAATAGATATAGAAGGTTCGCACTGAGAAGTAATAAGCATGCGTTTGATTTTGCAAAAGAATCTACATTTAACACTTGTAGAAGGATAGTCTCGATATTTTTCATTTTGGAGCGCATTGTACACTCGTTTCGGAGCAGGTGGGTCCAGGATCAAGTTCTTTCTTTCACCTTCCTGCTCAGTGTGTTCTCCATCGACCCCACCCTTCTTACATCCAACGGCAGGTGCTCTTTAAAGATGCGGACGTCGGCCCGATTGGAAAGAGTCCGAAAGAGACGCTTTTAGATAGAAAGTGGTTGCAAAAGAGAACATGCATGAAGGAAGAAAAAAAAGCTGTTCTTTTATTCCGTTATGGTTATGCGTTTGTAAAATAAGAATAATAGTTATCATAATCTAATTGAGAAATGCAAATTGTTTCATTTGTCTACTATAATTTTTTAATTATGACGGCACGATTAAATAATTATAAAAAGAAAACTTACGGAAACGAGAGTGGCCGCTGTGTAGGCCGCGGCTAAAACTGCGGAAGCCTTTGAAGAAATCGTAGGCGGCAATAATCTGGATGAATCCGCAGCAAAATGAGCTAGTATGATAAACACTGACAGTGCTATCTCGACTAAAAGCCTCTCGATTGGACCTCCTAGTCGACCGGGGACGTCAGGGTTTGCGTATTCGAAGGTGTAGTTACACTGAAATAAATAAGATACTATATATATTATGTCGATTACGTAATCAATATCACAATTATAGAGTTACATAAAGAGAAATAGGTCAAAAAACGAAATAGAAAATTTCTTTCAGATGCGAAACAAAATTATCGATCGTTCCCCAAAAATATTCACATATGGCCTCTTGTACGTCAGAACTACTAATATACGAGTTATGCAACCGCGGTGTAATATACGATGATTTTCCTATTGAAGCTTGCCACGAGACATGCACCCCGCATAGAAGCCCCCTGCGATAAGTTGGTCCCAACGGTGTAATGTTTATATTAGCTAGTGCATCCTCCAGCCCTTAAACGTGACCCCGATGTTCCTCTCGTGACGTTTCCCTTGCATAAAATTCTCGTTGATTTTCTCAGCTCGTATAATCATATAGGGTCACAAAGATGTGACCTTCAATCATTTCCCATATTCAATAATTGCATTTCACATATTTTTTCGAACTCAAGTTTCTTTTTATTAAAATTCTTAATAATAAATAAATATACATGTTACTGCCGCATTGTAATATAATTCAATATAATTTCAATATGTTAACAATTAAAAATTAATGCAACATCGACTAAATTTATCAAAAAAATTTAAGAAAGTTAATTCAAAATCAATTATAAATTAAATTTTATTTAATAAATTATTTATAATTTAAATTTGCAAGTTTTTTAACTCAAAGTTTCTTAAGTCTTTTAAAAAATAAATTAAAGTTTGCGTTGTAAAATAGATAATAAATATTTGTGTCAATTCGTATAAATTTTTTCTTGTTTATAATCGGATACTGAAAAAAAACTTTCTTGATTGCTTCATTTTTTTCTATTTATTTATTTATCGATATTAACTGTCTTCTTTGTCTTTCACAAGCTTTTATTTCTGCTGTTTTAATATGCATAGACTCTGCAAGTGATTTTCCTCAACCAAAATTCTTCTCAAGCAAAGCATTCACAAGTTTAAATAAAATTACCATAATCATGTCTCTCGCATCATCTTCTGTTTCACGATCAGACGCTCTTTTTGCAATCGGAGTCGAGGGCTTTTCACACGCAATGTAAAGAAAACACTTTGTATTTTTAAATTTTGACATTTGATCTATTTGATTTCCGGAAAAAATCGAAATTTAAGATATATATTCAAAAATATATATTTATGATGAATAATTATAGGATTGAGTTGCTCAATTTTACATTTCAATTTTTAAAATTTTTAATAAATATATTTTTTATTGAAATATTTATTTGCTCTGTTCTCAAAATCGAAATCGAATGTTTTCGGGCAATTACGCATAGCAGAATGAATTGATAAACTTGTTGAATAATATTTATCTCCGAAATCTCCCCATGTGCAAAGGTACACCTGTACGGTTATCATCCTCTCTATAATTTCTCTCTGCGAGCTATTCGAGCATGATCCTGATTAATCCCACTAAATACTGCATTCGAATTGCGCCACCCCTCATATTCTTCGTCATTGGACACGAAACACCCCCTATCTCGACTATCGCGGTCGCAATGCAAATGACAGTATATTCACCCTCCCGCCTCCCCTTTTCGTCCTCCTTTTCTTTCCCTCTTTTCACCGAGGGCAACTGTGTCAAGAGAACGAATGATGAAATCAGAAATGCAGATCATGACCGCACAATTGGGATCAACTGCGGCAGCAGACGAGAATCCCCGGTCGAATAAGGGAGAAAGAAACGGCGGCATTTTTATATTTACACGCGTGCCCTCGCGTGATAAGCGGATTTTTACTTCTTTGGTGGAAAAATCGGCCGGCAGTGCGCATTTCCCACGTGAATACGTTATGCTACGATCGACGTACGAGTGCATGAGACCGATAACGATGTATTTCCTTCATTGTGCGATTTTTTTCCAAGTATTATTCTACTAAAAAACTTCATGGTACAATATTTCATAATTCATCCGTTCATTTTTATTTTTGCCAACTATATAAGTCGACCTTTTCCACAATTATCAAATGGCAAACAGCCTTTGAATTGAAAGTGAAACCTTTAACTTTTGTTACGTATATATATAAAGATTTAAGTGAATACGTTTTATTTTTCCTCTTGAAAGCTACTTCGTCGTAAACGAAAAGCTTTTTTCCATCTATTTTTATTATATACGAGTAATCTCTATTCTTTTCCATACATTCACGAATGTATATGATTGTGAATAGATACATATTTTTAATACAAATATTTTTCTCATTCTTCAATATTACATATTATTTATTACATTTGATGTTGCGTATATATATTGATTGCTTTCATTTTAAGAACATCAGGTTTTGCATGCTTAACATTTCCTCGTGTATCTTCGAAAATTCGAGGATGACATTTAGGTGTTCCGTTTCTCGGAGGGTCATCCCGCATACCCTTCGGCCTTCGCAAGAAGGGCGATCTCGTATATATGAAAGGCGAGTCGAATTTATGCGTGCGAGTAGATTTCGTGAGAGAAGCTCGATGAGGTTTCGAGCCGGACGCGTTCTCAGCACTCGTCGTGCGCGATGAAAAGCGCGCGGTCATCCAGGCGAGACACGGAGGAAGGTTTAATCTTGCGTGCACTTGACTCGAGAGCCGCAGCCAGTGCTCGGTGCAACCTGTGCCCCGTTTTCGCAATTCACACGAAGGGGCGTAAACCCCCGGGGTATATACGTCGGTGCGTCGTTTTAAATAAATTTAATTCAAGAGGAGAGAGATGTGCGGGAAAACGAGGAAGGGATGCTGGATATGTATCTCTCACCCCGAATCCCACCCTCCGTTGCGATTAACGAGCTATTGATACCCCCTTTCGCGTACTGGACCACAGATCCCCTTCTCGAGGCTCGTCGAGACACGATCAACCTCGTCTGTGTCCTAGTTCGCTCTCTCCTATAACCACCCCTATCCGCGAAGTCCTGGATACTCCAAACTGGATACTGCAGGATCCCCTTCCCGTACGAGGAATATCACACATGTGACGAGCACGATAAACGACGAAAGCTCAAAGGGCCCGGAGATGATGCGTTCGCTCCGATACCATTATAAAGTCTTGACTATGGGAAAGTTCAGATGCTGAGGCTTGGCGTGGTCAAACCATGAAATTAGGATGTAGCATGAACCGTAAAGTCGTTATTGGGGAGACGAAAAAGGGACGATGATGTATTTCATTTTGCTATAAACAACATCGGAGAGATGTATATTGATCTTAAATATAATAGTGTTTAAAGTAAAAAGAAGGAATAGCATGGATTTAAAAAAATAAAAAAAGATATTTTTATTTTTTTATAAGTATTTTCAATGTAATTACTAATATTTGAGGAGAATTTTATAAGCATGGGAAAGGAAGTACGTACGATATAATTTTTAATGGGAGTGTAAGAGCAATGCGTAAATGTCAAAAATAATAACTTTGCTTTGTTTGTGTTTGAAATTATTATATACTCGGCACAGTTATAATCCCGCCCGCGTATTATTATGCCGAGCAATAGTTCATTCGAATGTTGTATATACGTGACCCATCATTACAGCTGTTCGCCGTGAGTTTTTTTTTTAAGCTCGATGCATCCGCCCACTTTCGCGTTCTCTTTTCTCACTTTCGACAAACCGGCGTATTATGATCGGGGCCGGTGATTTTGTGTCTCATCTTCCACGATCAATGTGGTTTCTCGTATAAAGTGTGCGCTGCACCGTAACAAAGAATTCTATAAAAGAGGATGTAAAGCGTACAGATGGGGGAGGGAAGAAGCAGATCGTCCTACATCGCCCTATTGTTTAAAGTTGAAAGAGGTAGAGACAGGAAGCACGTACCCTCTCCTCCGACCGATTGAAATATCAGTAAATTCATTTACGTGAATACAACTCCATTCATTGTTTTTTTCTTTTTTTCGAAGTAAATCATGATAACATACTCTATAATTTCGGCTGTTTTTAGACGTGCAAACAATTATCATCTCTGCATTATTATCCCTGCACCAATGATACATCGTGCGTAATTCTTTTCGTTTGTCAAGCATATGATAAAAAAAATTTCTTTTCTGTGAAACATTGAATAATAGAATAATTAAAAAATTATATAACATTTTCTAAAGCGCTTAGAACAAACTTCTATAAAATTCTAATTAATTATAACAATTAACTATTATAAATCGACCGCCATAAATAAATTAAATTGCAGAGCGAAAGACATTTTCTAATGAGCACGATGGAAAGGAGGTTGCATGGATTAAATGAAACCTTAAACAAAACGGAGTACTAAGCTGAGGTAGTAATACTGCGGAAATGGTAGGGTCGAGGTATAATTGTCGGTATCCTTCAGACGGTCAAAAGAAAGCGAATTGTGAAAGGGCAACGCGGTCATTTGCTGAGGCTCTTAAATAATAATGCGAATGACGCTTCTTGAAAATTTTTAGTTAACTCAGCTTTTTTCAATATAGATATGCATTAAAAGCAGAAAATTAAATAATAGCAAAGTAAAAAAACATAATATTTTATATTCTTTTTTAATTACAATTATATGGTAAATTTTATTTAAATTATTCTAAATTAATTCGATAAACGTACATAGATGACCACAATTTGACGTTTACACGACGATCTATGTAAATTTAGAAACGCTGCAAGAATCCTATTGACCTTTTAGATACGCGAAGGGTCACGCAGCTGCCGGAGAATAAGAGAGAATCGCGCGCGTATGTCCTCTCTCGTATATAGATCCTGTATAAATCGCCTTCGTACGAGGATACACGTGCCAGCCACATGTTGCACAAAAGGAATCCTCCGTGGTCCTTTTTGGGCGCCGTATAGCGTAAGTCGCCGTCACAAAGGAGCTTTAGGACCCTATAAATGATTCTCCTTCGTCGGGGGGCCGACTACGTGGCAGATGTTCTACATCTCCGGTGCTTCGAAGACGTCTATCCGTGCGCCGGACACGCTTAAGGATACATAATACCGATATAGGATATAAATAAAAGAGAGACGGAAATTCGCGATCAGT